TATATATATATATATATATAATTTTTTTTTATTACCGTTGAATACTACCCAAGAAGCAAAAAGTCTGGGATCACCTAGTTTCCCGTTTAGACTTCCAGATTCATGTGCAATTGTGGAGAATGGGACATTCAAACGGAAGAAATTATAGCATAAAAGCAGCAAGTGAAGTTGTTTAAACCTCTTATGATTTGTGTCTTGTGCTTTTCTTTTTCTTTGTTGATATTCATCACCTCTGGAGGCTGAAGAATTTAGACAAGCTTAATAACATTGCTTTTCACCAAAATTTGTATATGGAGGTAAACAATTGTTTGCCTTTTTATGTTTTTGAGTTTATGAACTAGTTTCTTTTTCTTCAGATGTTTTAATTGAATATTTTGTTACACTTCAGTAGTATTTATTTTTTTAGTGACAATGATTGTATGTGTCATGTTTGCAAATGCTGCTACATCCTAGAAGAGGCTTGCAATTTATTTTATAATGTATGGAAGAACTGTACAAGCTGAACAAAAGAATGCACTTTTTCTCTATGTGAAAATGTTAACAAGATTCTGAAAGTGAACCTTGTACTTAGAATTTGGTTTTTATAGTCAACTATTTCATTATGGTCAAGAAAAAAAAAAATCCCCAAACCATGTATCCTGATTGTTTGCACACTCTTTACTGAAGTTGAATGTTGTAGAGAAGTTGGACAACGCTTGCAAAGTTTTAAGTTACCAAGGCCACAATGATGACAAGAAATGCATTGCAATGTTTCAAACATTTAGTTAGATTGGTGGGAATATCTGTTTTAAAATGATGTATTAGTTCTAGCCATGACAGATACAACATTTTAGTGAACCTAATTCTCAAAATATTTATTAAATAGGATGTTTGAATATTTATTTTTTCATTTAAAAGATTTAAAAGAATAAACATGTGATGAAAGGCAATTCATTATATGGCCTTTGGTGACAGGAGTTGAGATTTTCTAAAGGAGACAGTAAGTGTAATAGTGCATGCCAGATTAGCCCTGAAGGATGATCTGTGGAATTATAACTGATGATTCTTGACTTCTTTCTTTGTAACTCCTATAATCTTTTAAGCTCCTATATGACTTGTCTGAGTCTTACGATAGCTGTCTTCATGACTTTAGAAAAGAAAATATTTACATGCAGTTGTATCCGTCTCTTGATGCAGAAAATGTACATACCCTGAAGTATCACTGCAGGCAGTGGAACATGCTAGGGTTATCAAGAGGCATGTGGGCATTTTATTAAGGCAGCTAGGATAAATTGATGCTTTAAAGAAGTAAGGTAGTTATCGTCGTATCGTTACACTACAGTAGGTCAGAAATACTGTGTACCTCTTGTGTAGAAGGATTGTAGAATAAGATAACATCTGTATTTATTATTAAAAATTGTGAAGCAGTAAGGAGCAGTCAGAGGGAATAATGGCTAACAGAAATTTAGTTCATGATCAGTGTCTTAGTTTATTAAATATGAGTACACTGTCTCTTTAATAATATTCAAAGTATTCTCAGTTCAGCAGTACTAATATGCAAAAATCTCTTTGATGTTCAGATGGACAAGGTGGTTAATTAGGACCCCTTCTCTCCTTTTGGCATGGATACACAAGAGAAGTCAGGAGTCTCATGCTCCAAACGGATGGGGCCATGCACTGTCGCCATTGGTTTTCCTACCTGAAATGTGCCAGCCTAAACTAATAAGAAGTCCTATATGTACAATACGCGTTTCTCCTCCCGTGCAGCCCTTATTTAAGCATGCAATCTGCACATGGATCAGTCTTGTTGAATTGGAACAGGTACACCTTTCCCCAGTTCAAGACATTTATTCATTAGGCTGGTGTGTACCTGGGCCATTTTAGTTTGCTCCCGATTTATAGAAGAATCAAGTTACCCATAATCATTAAGCTGATATAATTCAGTGTTAGATTATAGAGCAGCCTCAATTTAACAGACTGTTTAGGGGAAAGGGTTCTTTGTGCAACTCGAATGTCTGTTAAATACTCAGGTTCCCCTCCACCACCCACTCCCACCCCCACCTACCTTGTTTTTTTCCCCTTCCTGGAGATGAACTACAGGAAAAAGCACTTTCAAATACAGCCCTTTAAGGGACATAGTTGTTTCTGGCACCAGCCTTTTGGGTGTTTGACGGACACTTTTCTCTCCAGCTCCTGTCAGCAAGGAAGTAACGGCCAGGGCTGGAGGCGAGGGGAGGAGGAGTCACTGCTGTTGCTGTTGCGCCAGCCCTTATCCACTGAGCCTCCCCCAGCACCTCCCCGGCCTCTCTTCCTCAGCTCAGCCCTGCCCTTCCGCCCATTGGCTGCCTTTTTTTCCCAGCCCCTTCTCTCCTTGACCCTCCCAGGAGCTCCACCATTAAATATGTCCAGTACTGTATACACACCCCCTTCCCCCAATCAATCTTGCATTTTCTCTCACCCAGCAGTCAAACAGGAAGCATATCTGTTTTTGAGGGTTAGCAGCGACTGCTGTCCGGACCCATTCCCCCAAACAAGGGAGAAATCTGTTATCTGGGGATGCTGTCCACATGGAAAAGTTGTTCATTGTATCCGAAGTCTATTAAGAGGATTTCCTGTACTATTTGTGGTGGTCAATGATAAATTATTTTTTTAAAACATGCCATAAGTCAGTCAGTATGGCAGGATAACATTCCATGCAATCCCATTCTTATATTATACAACTATTATATTCTGCTTTCTAAATCATTAATACTATTTTTATCATGACTTGATTTTTTTAGTCATAACCCTATCTGATTATAATTGTTTGTACCTATTGCTTTCAGAATTTTGATGTGTTGGCCAGGGAACCTAATGTAGTAAAATTATAGGGGTTAATAGAAAAGTGAAATGCAGAAATACATAAAATAGAATTTCTGTGGTCTTTTTCTTTGGTTTTGCATAATGGATATTTTGCCTTTTATAGTTCGCCCCAGATAATAGATTAGTAATACTTGCTTACTAATATGTTATCAAAAACAACCACCATAGACCAGTTATGTTAATATGCAAGAAAATATAAAATGCAAATATTACTGCCCAATCAAGTTATACCGTCTGCTCAACATACGATAATTGATGAGTAGCCATGTATAAAATGGGGCCAATGTATATTCTTTTTTGCCATCATTTGTATAGGCCGAGCTGCCTCATTTAGGACACTCATTCCACCAATATTAGGTGAGTGAGGCTCAATTCACTTTCCCCACACTCACTACATTCCTTTTAGCAGCAGAATTTTAGGTTTTTATCAAGGTTTCCATGTCTCGCCCTCTCTCAGTGTATAATTTGGATAGACAAGAGAGGTATTTATAAATATTACTTCTCTCCTGAGTTCCTCATGTCAACCAATGTCATTTGCTAGTTCAGAAGAAATTAGCTTTCACCCAAAGGATCAGAAATATTTTCTATCATCTCATTATAAAGATATGCTACTTGAAACATTTGAATGATCCTATCTCTATTGGCCTGATGTTTGCAGGGTGCAAACAATGGGCTTGACAGAAGAATATTTCAGCATGACTGTTGTATTGACCAGGGAACACACTATATTTTGTGCTACACCGATGGGATCAGGCCATTACTCCAAAATCATCCATACTCAATAGTGGATGGGCTCTATCATTCTGAAGCATTCATTGCTCATATCATAGTTTACATTCTAGATCATTACTATAAATGAATCCTTTGATAACACATTTTTGCCATTGGTTGCTTTTTTGAAAAATTCGCCAATGAAGTTACAAAAGTATCACAAGGTTAGTCTTCAAATTCTAGATGGTCTTCTGAACATTTATGAGATCATTAATGCCTTTCAGCTTTCCTTGTGCTTTCAGACAAGGATAATACTATTAAATGCACAATGAAATGTTTTCTGAGAAAAGTTATACCAACTTTTAAATTGTATTTTGCTGAAAAGGAACTTGTGATTTGAGGTAAATGTAATCAGCCAATCAAAAAGCAGCTTTCTGGTAGCACTAGATGGCAACACCAAAACCATGTGTCATGAACAAAACCCAAAATATAGTGATATATCTCTTTTATATTGAAATGATTATAAAGTAAATTAATGAAATTAATTTATATACCTGCAGTCTCAAGGAGCAATGAACAATACAAGCAATGCATGGCATTGCATTAGCTTATCTTTGCAGCCATGACACCACATCTTTTTCATTGTGATATCAGATATCTTTTTCTGGAATCAGTTGGCTTGCACCAAACAGATTCAGTACCACGTGGTCTCTCTATGTTATATATTACATACAAAGAATATCATGAATCTGTTAATTTCCCAGTAATCTTATGGATCATGGTCTCACAGAGAACTTGCACTTTCACAGCATCTTGCTGAGATCAGTATGCTAACATCTAGCCTTAAAGTGGAAAACTATTAAACCAAGATCTGTATGAGACGATCCAGATCAGTCCCTGCTACGTTAACTCTGTAATTCCTCTATATTGTGTCCTTGAGGAAAAGTAATTAATAGGTGACCATATAAATTGAGTAAATAAATAAATTTTGATTTATATCTTGCCTTTCCTTCAGGAGTTCAAGGAAACATATATAAGGACTCCCTCCTCATATAATCCTGTGAAACAGGTTAGCTGAGAGAGTGTGACTGGCCTAAAGACACCCATAGTAATCATGA